AGTGACAGCCACTCAGACAGACACAGGGCAACTGACAGGTGCCAAGATGAGGCAGTGGTCCCAGGAAGAACATGGCAGCAGGTCCACCTGGGACAGTAGGTAAAGGTTTCCCAGAAACAGGAAAGCTTCAGCTATGTCTTGAAGGAAGAAGAGGTAGCAGTATAAGTAAGGCTACAGATACTGAAGTCACTATAAGGTTGTCTTTTTTTTTTTAATAATATTTTATTGTGCTTTTTGTGGAAGTTTACACAGTAAATCAGGTTCCCATTTAAAAATTTCTATACAATTTGTTCAGTGACATTAGTTACATTTTTCACAATGAGTCAACTCTTTCATTGCGTTCTTTTTGTTCTGTTTCCGGTATTCTAGTTTCCCCGCCCCCTTATCTTCTCATCTTTGCTTTACAGTAATTGTTGGCCATTTGCTCTCATATAGATGTGTTGTTCTTTTTTTAATACAGCACCATACTCATGGGTAATATTCTTTATTTTGTACCACTGTTATTTCACTAAAAGGTGGTCTCAGGGGATAGTTTCAGTTCAAGGTTTAAAGAGTATCTCAGGGCAACAGTCTCAGGGAGTCCTCTGGTCTCAACTGGCCAGCACGTCTGGACTTTTTAAGATTCTGAATTCTGTTCTATGTTTTTCTCCCATTCTATCAGGTTTCATCTATTGTGGCCCTGATCAGAATGGTCAATAGTGGTATTGACCATCTAGTTCTTCTGGTCTCACGGTAGATGAGGCCGTGGTTCATGTAGGTTATTTGCCCTCTACACCAGTTTCTTCTCTGGGACTTTGGTTTCCTTCTCAAAGGTTTTAAGGCTCCTGCATATTAGGAAAAATGAATTCTTGGTTTGGTGTGGTGGCTCAGATCATGAAGGTTGAAATCAGACAGCCATGGCCTACACCCTGACTCAGCCTCACTGTGCGTGCTAAGTGCTCTGTGAGCCAGAGCACCTCGTTCCATCTGTCGGGTAGACACTATGGTCACACTACTGTTATCCCCACTTACAGATGAGAACCTGAGGCTCAGGCAGGTGAAGGAACCTGGCCAAGGCTCCTAAGCCGACGTCTTCTTATCTGTAAAATGGCGACATAATAGGGCTTACCCAAGTGTTACTGTAAGGGCTAAATTCAATAAGGAGTCACTGCCTTCCACAGAGAATGAATTACTCAGTGTTCAATAGTATTATTTTATAGTTTTTACAAACCATAAGTAGGACAATAATTTCTAATGGTTTGACTCTGTTCAGCAATTCATATTGGTAAAGACTTCCTCAATATATGGGGAGCTCTTTCCACCAATAGCCACCATATAATTGGGTTGGTTAATATTTTTCCCGTTTAACAGAAATAAATTTCCATTCAGAGGTGTTAAATCACATCAAAGCCAAAAATGTTGTTGGTATACATGGGAAGGGTGATATTCTGCCATTTCCAACCTGCTCTTAGTCTGTCTAGACCAGTGCTTCTCCACCAGAGACGATTTTGCCCCCAGGGGACAGTTGGTAATGTCCAGAGACATTCTGATTGTCATGACTGGGAGGAAGAGTCAAGGTCAGGGATGCTGTTAAACATCTGACAATGCCCAGGCCAGCCCCCACCACAAAGAATTATCAGGCCCAACATGTCAGGAGTACCCTTGTTAGAAAACCCTGCTCTGGACATGAGCCAAATTAGACAGAGAAAGTGGAGACATCAAACCAGTCTGACAATACAAATGGTTTTTCACCATTCAAAAAACAAAAAGCAACATTTATCCAACCTAAAAGAATGTCTCAAAAGATGTTCTTCCAAGAGTGCTTCTTAGGCTCAAGTAGACACATGAGAGTAAATGGGCAGCTCCTGTCTGGAGGCAAGATGAGAAGGCAGAAAGGGACAGGAGCTGGTTGAATGGACATGGGAAATCTGGGGTGGAAAGGAGGAGTGTGCTGTCATAGTATAGGGAGAGCACCTAGGGTCACATAACAATGTGCATATAAAATTTGTATGAGAAACTAACTTGAACTGTAAACTTTCACTTAAAACACAATTTAAAAAAAAAAATGATGTTCTTCCAAATCTGTTTCTTAAAAAATAGTCCATATTTTACAACTGTGTTGCAATTTGGCTACAAATGAAATCCAGTCATTATAAAAATGAAGGCATTACCTCAAAATATCTGAACTTCTGAGCAAAAGGTGCTAGTTTCCTAAGGCTGCCGTAACAAATTACCACAAACTACGTGGCTTAAAACAACACAAATTTATTTGCTCACAGTTCTGAAGGCTAGAAGTCTGAAATCAAGGTTGATTACTTCTAGAGGCTCTTGAAGGAGAATCTACTCCATGTGTCTCTCCTAGCTTCTGCTGGTTGCCAGCAATCCATGTTATTCCTTGGCTTATAGCTGCATCACCCCAGTCTCTGCCTCCGGCTTCACATGGCATTCTCCGTGTGTGCGTGTGTCTGTGTGTGTCTGTGTGTCTGTGTGTGTCTGAGTCCCTGTATTCAAATTTCTCTCTTCTTATAAGGACACCAGCCATAGGATCTGGGCCCACCCTAACCCAGCATGACCTCATCTTAACTTGGTGACATCTACAGAGACCCTGTTTCCAAACAAGGTCAGATTCACAGGCTCCAGGTGGACATGAAACTTTAAGACACTATTCAACCATGTCGCATTTCATTTTACTTGGATCCACAATCAACGCCCATGGAAGCAGCAGTCAAGAAATCAAGTGACATATTGCATTGGGCAAATCTATTGCAAAAGACCTCTTTCAAAGCAAAGATGTCACAATGAGGACTAAGGCACGCCTCACCCAAGCCATGGTATTTCCAGTCACCTCATATGCATGCAAAAGCTGGACAATGAATAAGGAAGACCAAAGAAGAACTGGTGCCTTTGAACTATGGTGCTGGCGAAGAATATCTGAATATACCATGGACTTCCAGAGTATGAACAATCTGTCTTGGACAAAATATAGCTAGAATGCTCCTTAAAAGCGAGGATGGCGAGATTTCATCTCACACACTTTGGACATGTTATCAGGAGGGGATCCCTGGAGGACATCATGCTTGGGAAAGTAGAGGGTCAGCAAAAAAAAGGAAGACCCTCAATGAGATGGACGGACACAGTGACTACAACAGTGGGCTCAAACACAGCAACGATTATGAGAATGGCTCAGGACCAGGCAATGTTTTCTTCTGTAGTACATCTCCTTTTTTTCTTCCTCTGGAGGTAACAGGACTCTCCTAGAATAGAAGCCTATGACAGAAGAAGGGCTCTGGCAACTGTAACTGTGGACACAATATTTTACTCAACCTACTGACGAAATCTTAGTCCTGGGCTGGAATTCAGCACTTCTCTCAGCCAGAACTGCATGCGCAACAAACAGCCTGCAAGGACTCAGGGAGCAAAACGGATGCTTCATTCTGAAACTGGCCCTAAGCATCCTAGCATCAGAGCTGCCCTCCAAAGCAAGCAGCTTCCTACTGACAGAGTGGAGTTGAGTGACAGGCCCAGGACTGGGCCAGTCCTCACAGGCAGTCTGAAGGAGGAGCAGTAAAAAACCGGGGTGGGGATGGGAATTCTGCAATGTTCCCTACTCTAATGTCCCTTTCCATGAACTTTTCCACTGGAGTGATGTGTTCTCACAGTCCACAATTCTGCCACATGATGCCTAGTTTCCCCTGGGGACACAGTGCTATTCACGTGTGGTCGGCTGAGTAATGGCCCCCAAGAATGTCCATGTCCTAATCCCTGGAACCTGTGAACATGGTGCCTTACACGGTAAAAGGAACTTTGCAGATGTGATTAAGTTAAGAATTATGAGATAGAGATATGATCCTGGATTACCCAGGTAAGCCTGATGTAACCACAAAGGTCCTTATAAGAAGGAGGCAGGAGGGGTCAGAATCAGAAGAAGGCCACATGACAACAGAAGTGGAGTTGGAGAGAGAAGATGCTACGCTGCTGGCTTTGAATATGGCGGCAAGGACCACAAGCCAAGGAATGTGGATGACCTCTAGAAGCTGGAAAAGGCTAGAAAATAAAATCTCCCCTGGAGCCTCCAGAAAGAACCAGCCATGCTGACACCAATTTTAGCACCACGAGATCCATTTTGGACTTCCGACCTCCACAACTGTGAGATAATAAATGTGTGCTGTTTTAAGTCACTAAGTTTATGATAATTTGTTACAGCAGCAAAAGGAAACTCATACAGCATGTTGGAAGAACCACCATTAGCTCTCTTGCTCCCCTTTGTGACAAAAAAAATATATGTGGGCTAATCTTCAAACCATAAACCTTAAACCAAAAATATCCCCTGAAGTCTTCTTAAAACCAAATGATAGTTTAGCTTAACTAGTAAAGAATGTCTGCCTTGAGCATTATGCTTTTTTAAGATCTATCTATACGGGATCAAATTGACAACAGCAACTCAAAAGATTATATAGGAACCTTAAGGGGCAGCGAGTTTAATGCGGGAGGAACAACTGGAAAAGGAGGGTGGGAATGGTTGCACAACTCAAAGAATGTAATCAATGTTACTGAATTGTACATGTAGAAACTGTTGAGTCGGTGTATGTTCTGCTGTGTATATTCTCAACAACACCAACAAAAATAAAATTATAAAAAAAGAAAAATATATGGGGGCAATCGTCAATCTCTAAGTTACAAAGTCAAAACTGTTCATAAAATAACCGAGCTCTGTGCTAATGTGCAAGAGATGGGGAGCCCTGGTAGCAGTGCTAACGGCTGCTGTGGATCTGACGTGAGATGTTGGCATCTAAACTCATCACGAACATTTTAGGAGAAGTCCACCTTCTTAAGATACAAACCAGCAGAATGAGTCATTGTCTTCAAATGTAAGCTTAAGGAAAAAAATGTCCCCGAGGTAGTGCGATGTTTATAAACACGTTTATTACAGTTTGTCAGTCATTTGTCTAGTGTTTACTGAAAATGTTTGGAGGCGAGTTGCGATACTCCCAACTTAACACTGAATATTTTTTCCTATTCAGGTCTGTGAGAACTCCTGACATCTGCAGCTTTACTACCAAGTTTCCATAGCAACAGGAAAAAAAGGGGGGAAAAAACCCACATCTGAAGATTGCCATTTATAGTGATCGAACTTCACAAACAGGCCTCGATGGTCTCAGTCTCGTTTTCTTTGCAACTTCACATAGTCTGTACCTCGCCACTTTTGACAGCATCTTCCTCTCTCCCTTCATTGATGGAATCCTCTGAATTTTCCCCGAATGTTTAAAGATCACGACACAGAACTTGACCTTCTGGGAAGCAGGAACAGCGACAACTTTCTCTGATGTGTTGACATGTTGCTAAATCAGTGCTTCACACACGCAGCTCTGTCTGTGGGTTAGTATTTGTATACGTATGAGTATCTGTTGTGTATAGACATAGTATTTATATGGGGAGGCGACACAGGAGGAGTCTGGTTTGAGATGCCATTCTTTCTTGAGAGGTCAAAGAAGGGATAGAAGCTAAGACAGCTGAACCCTCGGAGGCCTCAGCATCAAACTCAGCCCTAGCACAGCCCACACAGCTGCCTCTTCCCCTGATGTCCCTTCCACGCCCCATTCAGCCTCATCACTGCCATGACCAGCCAGGTTGGTCCCCAGAGAGGGGAGCAGAGAAAGGAAGCTGCTTTCTTTTTAGTACAGGGAACTTGATGACTAATTCACTGCCACTGAATGTCACGGTCCTGAGCGGAGGTGGGAGAGAAGCAGAGCATGCAATGTTACCCCCAAATGCCAAAAAAAAGGGCTGACATATTCCTTCCTGGGCATCAACTTGCATTTGGAGACATCCTGAACCCACAAGTTATAACCCACTGGTTATTACGGGAGCACCAATCCTGGTCAGTCTGTGTACAACTGCAAATGTCATCAGAGAAGTCACATGTACACAGGAAGAGGCCAACAGGTACCATCCTGTATACGTGTACAGACCCACATGTATAGACATACGTTTATGCACATACACAGTTTGTTTCCTATATACATGCATAAAATAGAGTAAATACAGGTAGTTTAAAAAAAAAGTAACTTTTTGTGTGAATCAACTACCGTTGTTTGCAAAGCTGAAAATAAAAGATGTTCATTATGTATGAAAAGTAATTGATTTTTATTCCGTGAGCATGTCAAAGTAAGAGGAAAGTTAGTGCTTGTACTAAGATTATCTTCTTGTGGATAAACTGTAAATGAAACCATCAAAGCTCACACCAAATTTTTCTATCAAATAAAACTAGTGAGAGCCTGTAGCTTTTTATTAGAGCTTGCCACGAACTAGGGTAAGGTAAGTGTCTTAGCATATTTTAATGCGGTTGCTTACTAAGGGTCTTAACCACACGCACACATGCATACACACGCACACGCTTTCTTATGCAATCTATGTTTGCACCTGTGCTTTTTAGTTAGCCTTTTATAGGAAGTAAAAGTCATATGTTGTCTTTACTGTAGTGAAATTATGCAGCTAGAGTTCCTTATATTGTATTTGTTTCAATAGTAAATCTTTTTGGAAGCATATAGAATGCAGAGAATTTTTTTTTCCATTAAAATAAATGGGTATTGGTGGTTAAAACTGCTGGACAGTAGCTTTTATCTGATTTCTATGTTGTGTCTCATGTGGCTGATTTGCCGGGTCTTGCCTTAATGCAAATTCACATTTGTGACTGACCATTCGGGGTCCCCCATACAGCTCCTATTAGGTGCATCCATAAAAGCCAGAAGCACCAACTCACAGTATAGACACTCAGCTCATCTTGTCTCTGTTACTGGTATGACAGGGGCATTTCCCAGTGGGCTATGAAGATGATCAGATGCTCAAAGATGAGATGGACCATCATCAGTGCAAACACTGATTGTTAAGTACATCACAACTATCTGTCCAGAGGCCCAACACATGTGTATTTTTCTCTGGAACAAATCCCTTTGCAAAATCGGGAGGTGTCACATCTTGGGCATGGCGTGCTCACTCTCCGCCAGTACTCGCCCTGGCTCAGGGGCTGGGGACTCAACCTGTGCAGTCACACTCCACGAACCTTCCTCTGGCTTTATCGGGTACAACCATGTGCCTCCCAGGTGCACCTGGCTCCCCTCCTCTGCAAGGTGGGGGGGGGGCATGCTCACTCTTGAAGACACTGTCATTGGATAACCAACTGGTCAGCAGCCTGCCCATCCACTAGCTAACCAACAATCAGAAAGCTCACCACCATCATGAACTTGAATCATCTTCTAGGGAGGACAACAGATACCTAGTCACCCCTTCACTTAACAAATGCAAGACCTCCTTCTCTACCAAGCCAGTAGGCTCCCTAGTACTTTGCAAATCAGGCCTGCAGCTTAACTTAGAACACAGAAAAACAAGAGAAGCATGCATACATCACTAAGTACAATGAAATCTGTGAGAGCCAGAACTCGACGGGACTGCCCTGTTTTTCCAGGTCTTGCAAGTTTCCACCTTTGAAAGGATGTAGTCTTACCACTTTTCTATCGCTCATTTTAGTGGAAAATATTTGAGTTTTCCTTCTCTCGCAGGTTTCCACCTTACACAGGTTCCAACTTCCACAGGTTTCACTGTAGAACATGCCTCAGCTTCCCCTTATTCAAGCATATTTCCTGTCCCCAGAGTTCTTATCAGAACAGACATCTTTCCGTCACGTTGTTTTCTAATCCTTTAAAAAAATTAAATAAAAAAAAACAAACGACCAATTCTTAGAAGCCACGGTGGTAGCATTTCCAGAATCACAGGACATTTAACTTGCTAGAATACGTTCACATTGTGTACTGCAAGTAAAAGTAGAATCAAGACGTTGTTTTGTTATTAAAATCCATTTTATCTTATCCAAGTTATTAAAATTAAAAAAAAAGTCAAAAGCCAGAAATTCCTTTTCCCAACTACTAAGTACAAGTCTGAGGATTTTACCCCCACCACGTGAGCAGTCTTATAAGCAAGTTGTCTTATGAATATATCAACCATCTTAGTTGACTGAAGCTTACATTTCTCCCCATTTTATATATGATAAAATTAATTATTTCTGATAATTTGTTTAAAAAATATACAAACATTTTTGATTTACCTTCCATCCTGCTGGTTCCCTCCAGATGAGTGTCACTGCAGGCCAATGAACACAGTACGCCTCTGGGCCAGCAAATCTGAACATCATAAAATAAACTCAGCACTGTTTCATACTAGGGATCAAGTGAGACTTTGATTCTTGAGAACGCTGTTAAGAAACTCATCTATTTTTTTAATTTTTATTTTGATATTTTGAATCATCCCAGTTTTTCAAAATGTCATTGTAAGCAGTATAATAAAAGGAATAACGACCTACTACCAAACTCATGAAGTAGATTAGATTGCATTTTATCACAAATAAACACATTGGGTCTTGAGCTTAAGCTGCAGCAACCAAAAAATGACTAACAAGGTGAGCTTCCAGGCTGGGTTTGGTGCAACGGTGCCCACACACAGGTGACCTATTGACTCTGAGGGAAAGAGCTGACATTCTCCCGGGTGAATGAACAAGAAGGCAATTAATAACAACCATCATCATAATGATTTACATTTATTGATTGCTGTTTACATGTCCATACTGGACAAAGCCCTTTATACACACTAACTCACTGACTCCTTACAACAAGCCTATGGGGCAAGTACTACTATCATGTCAATTCCCAGAGAAAGCACGTGGAGTCTAGGAAAAAGTAAAAGGTGTATCCAAGGTAAGTGGCCGCTCCAGTACCGAAACCCAGGCCACTGGGCTCTTGAGCCCATGTTCTTCCCACTGTGTCCCCATGCCGTTCCCAACTCCAAGCAGGACACCCCAGTACACTGCCTACTTCAGACCAGGAAACTCCAGCCCGAAGCCTAAATCACCCCATCTACCCAGAACAACTCAATGGAGCCATTACTAGTTCTTAGTCCTAAGAGCCTTCCATTAGGAACTGGTAACACTATTCTAAATTAATATTGGGACCTTAGAAAATGTTCCTGCACAAGGTATCACAGTTTTCTTCAGTAAGTGTTTCCCCTTTATCCTCCATGAGTTGTTAGCAGGTACTTGAGGGGCTTCTACTGGACCGTTTACATGTGGTGGTGATCTAAGTACATTCCCATCACGACCAAACAAACTGAGGGGAGGAGAGCTGAGGAAGAAAGCTATCAGCACAATTCAAATAGACGAATTCTAATGGACCTTCCGAAAGAAGCCTTTCCTAGATGGGGCAAACTGGTAAGTGCTTGGCTGCTAACTGAAAGGTCAGTAGTTGGAACCCAACAGCTGCTCCATGGGAGAAAAGACCTGGCAATCTGCTCCTATAATGATTACAGCCTAGAAAACCCTATGGGGCAGTTCTCCTCCGTCCTATAGGGTCGCTATGAGCTGGAATGGACTTGACGGGACCCAGCAACAACAATGGACCTTCCAGCAGCTTCTGGTTTTGTAAATGTAGGTACACTGATCTATTCACATGTAGTTGACCCAAGCATGCATCAACAGTTAAATCACACCAGTAAAAAGGTGAGCACCGAGAAAGAGCCAACTCCCTTTTCTGTTTAACTACTAAAAATAATAATAATAGCAACAACAACAACAATCTAATGATCTGGCCACACCTTTCATAAAGCTGACTTATCCCATCTTCTCTCCCAAACTGATTACTGAAATTTGATACTTCTTCTAATCCAAGATATAATGCTTTCACAATTGTTTGCCTAGAGTAAGTAACAGTTCTTTCACTATATAAAATGTGTTACCCTTACTGTATTTCCTTTTGCCTGTGGATTAGCCCACTACTGAACAAATTCTAAAGAATAGCACTGTTCAAAAGAGCAGTTTTGACTGTGTTTATACAAAAGCCTACATGAGGGACATGTAGAGTCAGTGAAAAATGGTGGGAATAAGCATGTGAAGGAGGATTTCAGATAAGAACTATAAAATTAAGAGTAATTCTATAATTTAAGCAGAAATAATTTAGGTATTCATCAAATTAAATAAGCAGAAATGCCTCTTCCTATCTCTCATGCTATGTGACTATCCTAACATTGACTGCTTGAGGGCTGGGGAGATGGATAGGTCTTGGAACCATTCTGTTCAACTTGCCTAGTGCCAGCTGGTCATGGGGATATGGTGAGAAGCAATGGGTTGGGGAAGACTACAGTTATTTTTTATTTTTGTTCAAAATATACACAGAACATACACCAATTCAACAATTTCTACATGTACAATTCAGTCACATGGATTATATTCTTCAAGTTGTGCAGCCATTCTCACCCACCTTTTCCAAGTTGTTCCTCTCCCATTAACACAAATTCACTGCCTCCTAATTTTCCTGTCTAATCTTTCGAGTTACTGTTGACAATTTGATCCCATACAGATAGTTCTTACAAGAGCGCAATGGTCACAGCAGACATTCTTTACTAGTTAAGCTAAACCGTTGTTAGTTTTAGGAAGACTGCAGGGGATATTTTTGGTTTAGGGATTAAGGCGTAAAGATTATCTCACGGCAATAGTTTTGGGAGTTCATCTGGCTTTAGTGGTTCCAGAAAGTCTGGATTCCACGAGAATTTGAAATTCTGGTCTGCACTTCCCCCCTTTTAAAGACTATAGTGATTTTTACTATGAAGCCTTTCAGAAAGTAGCTTGTAGAAACATTCTGAGCATATTCTGAAAGCTTGTGTTTCCTACCGCTTTTTTCAAGCTTTCTCTTTAGCGATTAATAAGGCCATTCCATACCTATAATATACATGCACTCCGATTATTAAAATGTTAACAATAGAGGCTATTATGAATAACATTCTGTGTTGTCATGCACATATCCACACTGTCCTGATATCATATATTATTTAACCCTCCTACAAGATTAAAATTTTCAGAAATTTTAAATGGATTTTTTCATAAACACTCAAAAACGATAAAAACGGGTCATCTTAAAATATTTAATTGTATTGGAGATGCAGTTCCTTTGAGCCCTAGTTACTGGATTGCTGAGCTGTAAATTTACATTTGATTTTCTATGTAGTTGCAAAGAAATGTGTAATTTGTTTGTGAAATCTTCAAATAAAGGCTATCTGGGATTTCTGCCCATGTGTACTTGGTCTTAGACCTTCCTTAGACAGTCCGAGCAGATGTCAGAGCAAAGGGATCTGTTTTCAAATGGTGCTTTGCTTGGCCTGTAATATTAAAGACCAAAACTAAAACCAAGCACTGGCTGGCTGCTAATTAACTCTTCTTCCACAGCAGAAAAATTTGGAAAAACAGATGACAGATAGCAAGAAGATGACTTTAGTGAGATCCTTCACCAAAAAGGAGGAAAGGGAAGTTGATAATATTTAATAAGGTGCCCTGGGTGGCACAAACGGTTAAGCACTGGGCTACTAAGCAAAAGGTTGGCAGTTCAAACCTACCCAGAGGCACCTTGCAAGAAAAGCCTGGCAATCTACTTCACAAGATCACAGCCACTGAAAACACTGTGAAGCACAGTTCTACTCTGACACACATGGGGTAGCCAGGAGCAACTCAAAGGTAACTGGTTGGTTGGATGGACCATGTACTTTCTACATGTAATTCATGAATAATAATA